GAGACCACTCCAAACCCAGCTCCTCCACAGCTTTAGACAGGATGCAGAAGAGCTCGGCGTCCATGCCCGTGAGTCCACTCTCTGAGTGGACAGAATGAGGCACGCGGGGGCTCAGCCAGCGTGGGCTCACTCATCACTGAGCGCCGAGTTCCTCTGCCCCACTGCTTTTTCCTCACAGGCTACTGGGAGGAAGAAAGCGGGAGGGCGCAAGGGGCGGAGTCGCTCTCTGAAAAGAAAGCTTTCCGCGAGCGCAGAGAGGCGAGACTCATATCCTCGCAATGAGGACATTCTATCTCAATGAGTGCTGCTTCAGCGTGGGCGGCGCCCAAGCATGAAACACACTCGCCGTGACCGTCAGCGACGTGCGGGGGGGCCCTGCACGAGCGACAGTGTCGGCGCGGCATTTTGAAACAACGCCGAAAATTTGCTCTTTTATATCGCCGGATAGCGGCAGGGAACCGGAGACCGTCGCTGCTGCAGGCGCGAGGGCAGCATGAAGTGGCGAGAATGGCCGAGCAGGAAGGGGTCTCTCGATCCGCTACGAGGCTTGATCACGGCGAAGGCTTCGTAGTCTCTTAGAGTGAAGATCTAGTAGTCATCGCTGAAGGAGAATAATTTGAGGATCCTATGGCGATGTGCCGCTTATATAGCCAGATGACCCCGCCCATTCTGGCGGGCTTTACTGCCATTGGTTCGTTTTTTATTCAGTGCACGAACCAATGGCCGTGCAGTTACACTGCTGTAATGAAATTAACTCATTTGTAAGGGAATTAATCATTAATTTCTGTTTATCGGATTTAGCAATTTATGTGTTAAATGGTCAGGGGTATCACGCATCTGGTCCTTGAAAGCCCGTAAAACAAAGATAGTTTTGTATCCTAGTTTGAGTTAGGGTTTAAGCACTGTTTTTTATTTGAGTCTCTTGAGACGATACGCTAGATAGTACAGGAACTGCTTCAACACTTCACTGACCCTGCATGAGTTTTACGACCGCAGCTGGTTGCATAGGGGTTCCTCAGTTTGTCTCAATGGAATGTGATTGTTTCATGTGTGACTCAATAGTGTAAGTGGGTCCGTTCGAAGACAGAGATCCTACACTGCGTTATTGAAAGGCTTCAGTCATTGGAGAAAAAGGAATTTTCCCCAAGCGTCTTAAGCAGAAGCAGTACGAGTGAAGTATCGATAGGGAACTGAATTTATGAAGCAAACATCAACACTAAAATAAACGTTCAATCAATACACATGAAAGTCACATTCATTATTGTAATACTCGGTCTTACTGAACCCAAATCGTTAAAGGGGTCCTATTATTTCATTTTACAAAGTCTTGATTTGGATTTTGGGATGTACTAGAACATGTTTTCAGGCTTGATTGTTCCAAAAACATATTATTTTTCACATATTTTACATTACTGCTGCAGTTCCCAGTCTGTTTAGTTTGTTTGAATGCTCTGTTTAGTTCCTGTTTTGATAAAAACCCTCCTCCCAATAATATGAAATGTTCTCTGATTGGTTAGCTGTCCCAGTGCATTGTGATTGGTGAACCTCAGAGCGTGTTCCAAAAAAAAGTCACTCCCCTTACCATAAACCGAGACATGGTGACAACATGCTACTAAAGCAGATTTTCTTCTTCTTTCTTTCTTTCTTCTTCTTCTTCGTCTTCTGTAGTGCAGCTTAACCAGACCTCGCCCATGGCCAGGGATTATTTAAATGAGTGACATTTTGACTTCACAATATCTGGAAGAAGCACACTGTAGTCTGAATGAGCCGTTTGTTGTAGTTCTTGAAAAGTGTTTTCTGTTAAAGATAATGTCTCCTTTGAGAGTGGACTTTGAGCTTTGATAACCTTGCAGATATATTTATTTTTTAAATGCTTACATTACAAATTGCAAGTTAGAAATGAAACATGACACACTAACTGAAGTTGAAAAGTGAAATTTCGTCATAAAAATACCAGTAACAAAAAAGCTACAGAAATCATGCTTATACATTTTAAACATTTCCACAGCTGAAATACACTAACTCAGACATGTTTCATGTATTTATTTGTTACTACTTGCAGTTCTTCAGATTTTTTCCCTCTTCACAAGTTTTCAGCTCATTAGGGGCCAAGCCCAGAATGGGCTGTAGCCCCTATTGTATCTGTATGTTTTCTTATTATTCTTCTTCTTCTTGGCCAATGGGGTTCTATGGCAGCCCAATGAACGGAACATAGGAAAATTATGAAAATTGGCACACTTGTAGTGATAGCCATTAATAGTGATCTGACCAACTTTGGGGTCTCTAGGACCAACTCTATAGCACCAACACCAGTTGAAAAATTCAACATTCAAATGGTAATAACTCTTGAACCCCTAATTCTCGAAAAATAAAACTTAGTACACCTGATTACTCTCTTCATGCTGATCACATCCAATAGCTTACATTCAGACTCCGCCCATTACAGTAGCGGCCATTTTGAAAAGTACAGTAAATAGTCTATTCCCTACTACTCCTTCAAAATTGATCCAATTCTTCCCAAAATTGGCTCAGATGACCTTTGGACTGAGCTGCACAGAAATGACTGACCAATTTGTTTTATTCATCTTTGTTAAAAAATTATGAAGTTGTGAAGTTAACAAGGTCGACCCAAATTGGTTCAGAGGCTGTATCTTGGCCAAACTTTGATCAATCGAAACCAAACTTGGTTTGCTTAATCAACAACAAGATTTGAGGTTCCATGCCAAAGTTGGGAACAGCGCCACCTATGGGTCATGAGATACTAAAAATGCACATTTTGGCTTATAACTTTTGACCAGTAAGTCAGAAAATCATGATCATGGTGTCTATGGGTTCCTTGAGTCATGTCGAATATGTGCATATGAAATGTGCCAGGATTGGCTGAACCATGTGTCCGCCATTTTGAAGTTTGACATAAATGCACAAAAATCGGTAGGGATCATCAACACCATGTCCTGGAGGTACCTCAGAAGTCTGAAAACAGCGCCACCTAGTGTTCCAGAGATATAACGATTCTTGCAAAATGTTTGCCAAATTTTGTTATATTTATGTCCTTTCGTTCCCTGGCTTATGCCAAATCTGATGATGTCTCATTTGTCATCTTCCAAAACTGTGTCTGTCCGCCATATTGAATTTAATGAAAAACTGTTTTTTCACTACTCCTCCCAGAAATTTTGCCCACTTTTGCCCAAAATGTGATCAGATGATCTTTGGACCGAGCCACACAGAAATGACTGAACAGATTTTTGATATTCACTACCGTTCCAGAGAAATACCTCTACAAAGTAGACTGTGCCTGTGTTTTTTTAATTATGCTAGTAAGCTTAGCATGCTAATAAGTTACAGGCTAACCAATTACCATACTGATTAATGTGACTCTTCAGCTATCAAGAAAACCATAAGCTGCGTTACAATTTACTTAACTTTGCATATTACGCTGCTTAGAATGCTAAAGAACTTTTTTTTGTGAGATCATTCTCACACCTTAACCTCTCTTTTGCTGCCTGTTGAACGTGTGTCAACTGAGTGGCGCATTGTGCTAAGCCACTGACCCTAAACCCCTAAGGTTGTGGGTTTGAATTCAGGGTGGCTAATGTTGCTTCTGTTACAGATGTTGGATTTTCCGTGTGTGTTCGTGTTGAATCAGAAACGTGTTTTTGGTCATTCTCATCTGAACTTCTGTTCAATTTTGAACTTCTGTACTTCTGAACCTATCTGTTATTTTGTATGTACGTTCCATTTCTGCCGTTTTTCTTCTTCCTGCTCTGCGCTGCGCTACAGCCCTTCTCGGGCTTGGCCCCGGAATTGCTGCTTGCAGCTATATTTTATATTTATAATTAATTTTCGAACAGAACTTTTGTAGATATCGTCACTTGTCTTTTTTAAAGATAATTCTGAAGAAATTTAATATTAAAGTTTTATATTCTTCTACTGACTTTGGAAAAAAATGCAAATAATTTAAAGGCATTACATTTTTCAGAATGAAACTGGATACTGAATTTTGATTGATTCTCTTTCCTGTAATTTTTTGCTCATTTACTGGATTGTTTTTACTTTTTCCTGTTTGTTCTATTTGCTATCCATATCACCTGCACCTTTTTCATTCACTGTACACTAGTAGCCGCCTTTTCGTCCTGTTAGTCAATAAATCCTTGGTAAACACTGCATGTATAATGATGGTCACAAGCATGATTACTTGCAGCTTCTATTTAGCCAAGCAGTGTTATAAAGTGTGTCACTGTACACAACCTCATCTCATATGGAAATATTATTGCATTCCATAAACATAGAGTGACTACATGGTATTAGTTGTGTGCTCAACGTGAAAGATATCTTGAAATGTGTGTTCAAAAACAGGTATCAGACCTTTGTCTCTGAGGACGCAGGGCCCAACACTCTGGTTGCAACAGTCCTGGCCAAGGACCCAGATGGAGATGGGATCACATACAAAATTACAGCAGGCAATGAAGGCGGCAACTTTGTCATCGACAGTCAGAAAGGTGAGACATCCTTTTCAGATTTGGTATTACTCTTTTGATCTCTCTGACAGCCGTTTTATGCTGTATAAACATTCACTAATGAGCAGTGCAGTAGAAAAGTCTTAATTCAGTGGTTTCTTTCAAACTCATTACATTGCATCATTTTATACAGAAGTCATTTAAATATTAATGATACTTTATTAATATTTAATAATTAAATGTACTTTCACGGTAGGAGGATCACTGCAGGGCAGCTATTCAAACAAAAGTCTTTATCCATCTTTTAATTTGGACATTATTTAGATGCCAGTGAAGTCTTTTATATTTATTTAATGTATGGGAGAGAGGTATAGGCATGAACATTATGCAGGCGAAACTAAAACTTGTGTTCTAGTGAGAAAACAGCAACACCAGCGCATACGTCAATGTTGTACCACTGCTCCAATAGTAAAAAGAAGATTTTGTTATAGAACAAACAGTATAGAGAGGACAAGAAATTAGGATGGAGTTTGAAGATGCTTCCCAACCGGAAAAGAGGACTTTAATCTGAAGGGTCCTTAAGGGTTAAATGAAGACACAATGTTTAGTGTGAACATCTGGTAAACAGTCAAATCCAGAATGGCAGGAGAGTGAGTGAAATCAACAGCAACATCTGTTGGAACAGTCAAATACATAATGTACTGTATTTTAGATCACATTAGTTCTTCTATGTTTTTATAATTAAGCAAAAGTACAGACATGAATAATGCTTCAATGTATCAAAGTTACATTTCAAATCATTTTAAAAGTTGCCATGTATGTGTCACGGGTTGCCAGGGCGAGAAGCACGAAGGAGGCAGATATCAAACAAACAGAGTCTTTTAATAAATCCACTTAGGAAAATCAGGAGAACACAACCACTTAAACGACATCAGACAGGTCAAGGGAACGGAGGGCCCCCCCCCAAAAAAAAAAGTATTGGGGAAAACTAGGTGTTTCGATGCCCGGAAGGGTCCCTGGAGGGTGCTCTGGAGGAGCGGGCACTGGAGGGCGCTCTGGAGGAGCGGAGCTGGTTAACACAGGGGGCTCAGGAGACGTAGGAGGGCTGGACGGGACCAGCGGAGGCGAAGGCGACTCAGGAGACGAAGGAGAGCTGGACGGGACCAACGGAGACGAAGGAAAGCTTTCTGGAGCTGATTCTGAGGATAGGAGCCGAGAACTCTGGGGGTAGCGCCATGTCCATGAGCGCTGAGAGGCATGCTGGAGCCGACACTGGAGCGAGCTCTGGGGCTGGAGCCAACCTCCTTCTCCTCCTCAGATTCCCCTCTAGGCTCAGGGTGAAAGGCGCGACAGGCTTGCTTGACTTCGGAGCGGCCAGCGGGCTTGGGTCAGCTGCGGCCGGCGGGCTTGTGTGAGCCGCGGCTGGCAGGCTTGACAACGGGAAAAACAGGCAAACAAACATTTTCAAAACCAAAAAACAAACATGGGGAGAAGGGGCACCGCTTACTATCTTGGTCCTGTCTTCTGTCACGGGTTGCCAGGGCGAGAAGCACGAAGGAGGCAGATATCAAACAAACAGAGTCTTTTAATAAATCCCCTTACGAAAATCAGGAGAACACAACCACTTAAACGACGTTAGACAGAACAAGGGAACTGAGGAAAACACAGGGCTTATAAACACATGGAACGTAATCAGGGAGAACAGAAACAGGTGATTAGTAATCAAGGATAATTAATAAAACACAGCTGAGACAAATGGAACTTAATAAAACAGGAAACAGGAACTACCAAACAAGGACAAACAGGAACATACTTGTGACAGTATGATTGCCATTAATCATATTTACTTTTTTTATAATCATCACTTGAACAAACAAGTCATTGGTACTTTCACATATACAAAATTAGTCACTGACTAATTATAAATAGGCAATTATTGTAAAGCGTTTATTTTGAGCAAAACTGTTAAAAGTTACAGTTAAAACACCCACACAGGGATATAACTATTAATATGAAATCCGTTTCTGCCTTAGAGTAGAGAGAGAGAGAGAGAAAACATTTCACATTGTGAGAAATGAAGTCCGTTGTTAGAAATAAAGTTGCAATTATAAGAAATTAAAGCACAGTTCTGAGTAAGTATAGCCAGAATTTCCTTTTTATTTTATTTTATTTTAATTTTAATTTTTGTTCTAACTCTAAAGCATAAGTTGGAAATGGGAAATATGAAAGATCCAGTTGGTAAGCTTTTTAATTTTATTATAAGTGTATCCTTTAGGAACCATGTGTGTGTACAGATCAGACACTTTGAGTCCCTTGATGATTACAGAACTTTTCACTGGGCATTGGAACATTTCTATTAACTAATATGAAAATGCAGCATCTGTTTATCTCCTGCAGTTTTGAAGAAATGTAGTAATGGCTCAGTAAATATAATATTTATTGGCAACTACAAATACAAATTTCTTAACTCCTCAAAGTAACAGCATTTGCTAAATAGCTCATGACTTAATTGCCACACACTCCTCAAGCAGTGAAAGAGTTAGACATGTTTTGATTGATTGCATTTTGATTGAAGAAGATTGATCCGTAAGATACGGACTTCAGTTGTCCTCACAAAATATATTTGCTGCTTACCTTCACAATGCTCCAATTTAGTGCTCCATGCAGGTGATTCAAACATGCACCGCTTCATTGGAAGCACCACGGTTCCTTGAAGAGTGTCTCTGTTGATTCCCTTCCCTGCATATTCCTCCTTTTCTCTCCTCTAAAGATCAAAGCTTTCCTTTATTGCCGCTTCTACGGCTCGTGAGATCTCCGTCTCTCCTGAAATTCCCTCTATCATTCATTAGAGCCTCTCCTCCATTAGGTTGTTTTTGTTGGTGCGAAGCAGCAGGGCTCAGACGCTTGGTGCTTGTTGTTAATTTACTTTAACTCACAGAGGAATGTGCTCAGTTTGATTTAATACCCCTTTAAGGATTCAAACAGCAAAGTCAATAAGATGATCAGGCCTTTTGTATTAAAGACATAAATACAAAAACTGCATCCGGTCCATGAAGGATGTATTTACCGGCACAGCAGCGTAGTGTTTACGCTGATAATCAGCCAGATCATCGCCAGCACACAGGACCTGTCAAGCATTTTTATTTTCCTCTGTTATTTGTAGTGTTTTGATTTTCCTTTGTTCTTTGTCCTGCTAAAAGGCCTCGTGTTAAACAAGGTTCCAACATCCGAATGTCTGGCAATGGAGAAATGCATTGCAAAAAAGAAAAGACTGCCAGAAAAGATATTTGGCTGACAGGCTGTTAACATTGCACAAAAACTGATAGATTGTGTAATTAAGGATGCTCTGGATGTGTCCAGCAATCCATAAAAGAGAATACACAAGCTATATGTTTTGTGTGAATATATATATTTCCAACCATTTCCAGCCATTTCCAACCATTGGCTTCCCAAGACATCACTTCAACGACTACTGAACTTCCAGCCAATCAGAAACCTCGGGAAATCCCCTTTCTGCAACCGATGACAAGGGAACCCCTTACACAGGCAACACAAGTACCTCCAGATTCTAGCTGAACTGGTGCATTTAATATAAATTTTAAAGGGGTCATATGATGTTGCTAAAAAGTGTAATGAAATGGTGTATTTGGTGTAATGAAATGGGTTTATGCGGTTTAAGGTTAAAAAAACACATTATTTTCCACATACTATACATTATTGTTTCTCCTCTATGCCCCGCCTTTATGAAACGCGTCGATTTTTACAAAGCTCATTGGTCTGAAAAGCGAGGTGTGCTCTAATTGGCCAGCTATCCAGTGCATTGTGATTGGCCGAATACCTCAAGCGTGTGACGGAAATGTTACGCCCCTTACCATATTGTGATGCCCTGTCCGGCCAGAGCGACGAGACAAAAACATTAAAACCCATTATAAACGAGGCATTTGTTGCATCCAGTGGGGACATAATTACGGATTATAAAGACTTATACTGTCTTTTTACGCGTTGCATCGCGCCGCGTAAACATAAAACCGTGTCTGCATTTGTGATCGGAGAAATGACAAACAACAAGCCCTACTCTACACTGCCCAAAAAACTCGCTTTAAATATATAAAATATAAAAACTCTTTAAATATAAAAGACGTACTTACAGTCTTTGAGTCAGAACAGCC